TTTTTTTTAGCATCTCTTGATGTAAATTTACCGGACGTGCTAAATGCAAAATTATATGAACTATCTGCTATCATTCAGGTCCTTAACTTTGGGCTTCCTGTTTACGGAAGTGTTTGATCTGACGAGCAGACTCATTTGTGGCAGGTAATGACGGAGGACGGGGGGAAGAAGAACAAGCGAAAGAAGAGTTACTCTCTTATTTTGACTTAAACGGGAGTTTGCTGCCAAACAGTGCGTAATATTCTATCTGGATATGGCAGACAGAGTCAAATGAATTCGATATACTTCTGGCCAAAGTCTGTAAAAATTTTGCGTCTTGCATGGGGCGGTGAAGTGAAAGGATTTCGCATTGAACCGGGTCGGTATCAGCACGTACACCCGCTCCCCCCCCCCAGAACCTTAGCTAGTGCCTCCTTCCACTTCTACCCCTCCTCCTTCCTTCACAAGTTGAAGAAGCGGCGCAATTAAGATTTGCAGATCTTAGAGAATTTAGTCCAAAATTTTTCAGTTTTTTATTTTCAATCCATGTCTTTCTTTTCCATCCTAGTTCCCTTTGACGCATTATGACGCATTTCCTTTGCATGAGCTGACAAATCTCCTGCACGACGCATTTTCTTTTGTTTTCATGCTCTTCCCCTTCGTACATATGGAACTACCTATCGCCGTCCTAAAACTGCGAGACTACATGAAGTAGAAAGTGTGCGCACACATGAAGAAAACTGAAGATAAGAATTCCTCCAAAAAAGCTGTCAAAAGGAATCTTTACCGTGATGAAGCGATCAAACGGTAAAAATAAGACTCATGCTTCAGTTGGTGAATATTTGATTAAAAATAGTGCCCTATCAATCAAGATCGTTGAACATTACGAATTCAGATTGATGGCAGAAAGTTCAAGCCCTTAATAGATTAGTTTTCTAAAAATGGGCACCAACAGAGACCGAACAGCACGTACTGTGTAGTTCAATCATTCAGGACGCTTCTAATTTACATCGTAAATACGCGCAAAGAGGGGTTTTGTTCTTTTGCTGCATCCTCGTTCCCAGGGCCACTCTTACTCTCGGTTTATAGAGCACCACAAAAACGCATAATGAACTAACTAACAGAGAATGAGTCTTAGCAGAAGGACGGGATTTTGAAAAGTAGGTGGAAGGAAAATGTTCTCTTTGTTGGATGGATCATACGTATACAAAAATGTAACAAAAAGTAATCAGCAAAAATTCTTTAGTTAATCAAAGTTTAAATATTTTCTTTTGAAATGCAGCAAATTTAGCCTAGTCCTAACTTTTCTTTGTTCCAAGATTTCCTCAATACATTAACATAACCCCCTGATTTCTGCCACCTTTTTTTCCATCTTCCTTCCTTTGCCCTTTCCTTTGACCACAACCACAACCACAACCACGTTTTCACTCATACCTTCCCAAGTTCCCAACGCCCTGCAAACCACCTTCGCCCGAGTGTCGTGTTTAGCACTTTCTTTGTCGGCATGTTGAAGAATTTGGAAAATTACGGTGCTAAGCGATTTTAACCCTGGGACGCCAAAAAAAATTCTGAATGTCCTCTATGCTCGCTACGTTATTTGTTTTAGCTGCGGTGTGGCATGAGTTATTAGATGGCCGACTATCATAAAAGTTGGTGGGATATCACTGTTATTTGAATGTGCGTTGAAATAACCCACCCGCCGAAGCGATCGTGTAATGAAAAAAATAAAGGTTACTCTCAAAAAAGGCTCCCTACCTTATTTTGACTAAGGCAGAATAAAGTTTAAACTCTCTTGTTTTACTTATTTCACTAGAAAACGGCTCTATTTTGGATTTAAAGACTGAGCTGTCAAGTCGACTCAGAACATATGCGTTCCTTCTAGGTCAATGAAGATATTAAAAAATGAAAAAAAATAACTACCGCATGTTCCTGCCGCCAACCGCAGTTTAAGATAAGGTTCGCCACATCACTGAATAAAACGAATGTTTTTCTTTAAGAACAGACAAATGAACAAACAAAGAGCTCTTACATCTTACACTGAATCGTCAAAAATCTTCTTCCACCAGTAGAAAATTTAGTGAACAAGCAAATGAAAAAGTAACACCGGCTTTGCGCTGGATTTGGACTCATGGCTTTGAACACGACAAAGGCATGGCACGTAAACAAAATTTTTTGAGTCGGTCGAGGAATTGTTTCCCAATCTAAGCAAAGAACTGGGCAGCTGTCCAGGAGAATAATCATCTGTTTTGTTTTTATTACTTAGGACACAAATCTTTACATTTTCCCGCTTGCCCAAGTAACCTCGGGCTTGTAAATGTACGAACGAGGGGGAGATTTCTCCTTTCACTGGACACACAAAATATACCGCAGATGTCTCGTTTTCGTTTGGAATGCTGTCATCTTGGACTCGCTGTTGCGTGCTTTTAGTTTAATCCCAGATATTTTCGAGTACCAATATCTTGACTCAAAAACCTTTTATCGCACTGAAAACCAAATATCTGTTCCCTAGAGCGCACGTTCTTATGATTTCACCTTTCTTATTTCGGAACAAACTTCAGCAATTTCAAGCATTAGGTCTTATATTTTCAAGCCTCTTTAGCATCGTTTTGACTCATGGCGCCCTTTCCAATAAAATGATTTTTACTTCGAGATCGCAGCTTTAGTTTCAATCTGTAATACCGAACAAAATTTTCTTCAAAGTTAGAAATTGAATGTATCAAGTCATGTTTTAACATATATCCCTCAATCCCTCAGCGGTTCTTTAGTGGACCGAAATTTCGGGTGTATATTCCAGTAGAGATATTAAGGACTCACCGCACTTCTTTCCTCGGGGAATCTCGAGGCGAGCCCAGCATCAGTCATGTTGATCCAGTAAGCCATGGTAGCGATTGAAGAGGCTTAGTGCTCCGATTTCCCGCTTATGGTAGTTACCAAGGTACAATTTATTTGACGCCAACGCTCAAATGCTTCTTCTACTTCTTCTCTGTCGAAAAAATATCCTGTTTATCCAGGAATTTTTCTCATGGATGCAATATAATGCTAGACAGCGTTATGACGTCGCAGAACTTCGGTATCAAAACAAAAAACAGGAAAAAGGAAGTGCAAATTTAATTAGTACAAAATTCATGGACTGTTGCAGTTGACGAGAATTCCTTCATGTGTTATTCTTTGACGCATCTCAGGCTATTTCTGGAGAAGTCTTTGCTATTGATATCATTTCCAAGATTTTAAGTTCTCAGTGTTTTATACCTGAATATGATGAGATAGATCTCATCAGATCCAAAAACGAGTACAATTCTGATGAAAACTTCCTTAGGTTTTGTACCTTGGCCAATTCAATGTGACGAGTGGTAATAATATTTCGTAAAGTCGATAATCAGTTTTGCAAGTGCAGGCGAACTTGAGTCGTTAAATGGTATTCATTTCATAGCCATCCTCCGCTAAAAACGCCACCATGGGCATTTTGAAGCATGGATTTCCAGAGGTAACGGTTGGGATTGTCTTTACTTTTTGTTGGATATAATTTGAATTGAAATTTAACTTTTGCCTCCCTCCCTCAAGTATGTTTTTTTTAAAATTCATGTAATCATGATTACACAACTGCAATTGAGTTTTTGAAAAGCTGATTTGGGCTTTCAAATTCGTGTTTGACTCCACAATATTTTTCATCTCAACCTTTCTGCTTCACCTTTTACACGCTGAGTGCAACACCTTTTCTTTAGGGCTTTGCAACACATGACAATTCATAGGGTTTTTACATATTGTTGGCGCGCGCGCCGCGTAATGTTTTTCTAGAGAATTTTTATGTTTTCGCTTTCCTAGGTCACTAAAAGTTATCGAAAGGCGATGAGCAACGCTCGGGCTATCGTTTGCTGTAGTAAAGATAAGCAATATGATTTTCGTTATTAAGCTAAGGTTCCACGAAGGGAGGCGCTCGCCAGTAATAATTTAGCTTTGCCTTTGCTTTTCTTCGATTTGCTTCGGAGAAACCTCTCAAAATTTTCAGAATTTGCGAAATTTGTCCTACCGACAACTTAAAAAACCTAAAATAGTAAGGGTTACAAAGGCAGTTTCCTCGCTATTTGCAGTTTTGTGTTTTCTTCCTTTATCTCAAATTTGGTCTCTGAATTTTTTTCCAACAGGCACTAGGAGGGGCACAAATGTGTCCAACGGTTCAGCAAATCTGGGGAAATTCCACCGAAGGAAACGCTATAAATCTTGCTCGAAAGATCTCCATTTCTTTGTCGCAAAAGTATTACGTAATGGAATACAACTTCTCACGGTGTTTTCTTTTCAGTTGCCCTCTTTTTCAGGCGTAGAAGGCCTATGAATATTACGGGTGTAGTTGCTGGAAACCCTAGATTCCATCACATAAAAACTGTGTTAAGTTAAACTTTTTTCAACATACCTTTTCAGATAAAAATTGTGCGATCGTATCGGGCCGCTATGTTTAAGCTCGCGCTATGTTCGCACCCAGATCTCGCGCGGTCAAACACTCTTCAGAGCCTCCTTAACGCGTATCTGAACAATGGCTCGTCCAAAGTGCGAACGTGTGTAAACAACATAAATTAGTTGAATAAATTGCAAACCTAATGTAATCGAAATATCAAGAAATTATAAACAATATGGAAAATGAAATTAAACATTGATTTTAAACAATAGCTTTCACAAGATTGCATCGGAACTGTGATGGACTCGATGAGTCATGAACTATGTTGAGAAGACTATTCCAGATGTTGGCAGCCATGTAGCTAAGTGGCTTTATCTATTGTCAAGGTGTTGTATTAAGTTCAATGAAAAAAGTCCTACTATTAAGTTTGGACCATCGCATCCGTGTTGAAAGAATATTTTCTGTTCTCTCAAGTTGCTAGAACTGAAAATGATTCTGACCGTGCTGTCATTTGCTCGGGCTTTTTTCAGACACACAAACACAAAAACATTCAAAATACGTGATGGCCCGCTTGAAGATGATGGACCCCATTGCCTTCCTTTCCCGTTTAAATAGAGTGACATCTGGTTGTGTTTAGATACTGACGTCAAAGGACAAAGTATTCGCTTCCTATCTCGCGCGGAATATTTCGCTTATTTGTTTGCAGTGATGGAATAAAAAAACTTACATACAATAACGTTTGAGAGACTAGATGGTACTTGCTGTTTGCTTGCGTGTGTTAGTCTTCCATGTAAAAATTTGTTATTTTATTAAGTTTTCTAATGTTAATTCGTTTTTGGACTCCGTTCCTTTCGTATAAAATTTATAATTGAAAATGTTTGTACAGGATAACTAATTCAGTTGTTGAACTCAGTAATAACTTAAGGGTGATCCACCTGGAGAGGATCGTGGGCTCATCAAGGCAACGAGGAGTCCCTCCCTTTCGGCGAAGTCCGTCACCTGAGTCAAAGAAGAAAACAATTTATCTCATGATTGCGGCGCGCTTTTTTTTTCTTCACTTATTTTGTACAAGTGCAACGGACTTCGCCGCATTGAGGGACTACTTACAGTCCAGGGCACATCAGGCTTTCTTTGCAACATCTCACTCCCTGGAAAAGAAACACTTGATCGTAAATTAGATCATAGGCTAGTCATCGATCCCTCTTAGTGAGTTCTAAAAGAGGAGAGGCACACTTTTAGGGTGTTTATTCAACAGACGGTTCAGAGTTCAACTGGGTCACGGCAATCGAACAATGTGATTATCTTATCATTCGATCTTAAGAAAGGAATATATATTTCCATTGAAAACTCTGCTTGTAGCCGGTAGGTACATAGAATGCACGTGATAACTTTTCGAATTTGTCAACGTAGTTACATTTCTGGCGCTAACTTTGACGGTCTCCGTTTCAAGCAGCGTTCATGTGACGTACTGGGTACGAGTCTCTTACGCACTAGAGGGGGGCACTACATATTTAGCGTAAAGTACAACACGTGGATTTGCAGGACGCCATTTCTGTACCCATACAAGACAGGGTTTGCAATTTCGCGACCATCATGAGCTTCGATGGAAGTAAAGGCCCGCCCCAAATTGAAGGAATGACTAGCTTAAAAGTCGACAACCTTACTTATCGTACTACTGTGGGGGACTTGACGCACGTTTTTTCAAAATATGGCGATCTTGGCGACGTTTACATTCCGCGCGACCGCTACAAACAAGAATCCAGAGGGTTTGCTTTCGTACGATTCTACGAAAAGCGAGATGCTGAAGATGCAATGGATGCCTTGCACGGAACTATCATCGATGGACGAGAAATCCGCGTGCAGATGGCAAAGTATGGAAGACCATCAGATCCCTATAAACCTCGAAGTAATCGTCATAGACAATCATCATCCTACAGCGGTTCGAGGTATCGATCACGTTCTCGTTCTCCTCGACGCAGGTAAAAGTGTTTGTGAAATTTTTGTTATTTCAAAGATCTTGATGAACTATTGTCAACTACTAATTGACTTAAGTTATTAAATTGAGTTAAATTTGGGTTTCTAGACTAGTAGTGGATCTCTGACAGAAGTGTCACGGCTCTTTGTTTACAGGGCCCTCGACAGTTTGAGAAAAGCTTGCTGAAAATACTCTCATTTGTTTTAGTTGCCAGCAATTGCAAGAAGTTATATGAAACTGATCGCTTGTGACTAAGTTTCTTCTTGAAAACTTAATCTTGTTCCCAGAGCTGCAGTCAGTAAGTTCCAGGTGAAACCATATATCCTAATATCTGATCATCCAATTAAAAGAGTATGTAAACAAGTAAAAAGAAAACCTAATTAGGAGAATGCAAGAGCCTTTCAATTTGTGATGCTGATACAGAGCATTGTGACTCTCTGAGTAAAATTGCATAAAATGAGCAACAGGATACTTATGTCAGTTTTGTGTTATCCTTAGGGCTCGCCGATCACGTTCCAGATCTCCCCGGCGTCGTTCAAAGTCTCGATCCCGCTCACCACGCAAAGCTCGCTACAGTGGGTCACAGTCACCAAGAAAACAGGAAAGCCGTTCTCGTTCCAGAAGTCCTCGTCGCAAACGATCCCACTCTAGGTCCCGTTCAAAATCTGGTTCAAGACCCAGACAGTCTCGTTCTAAGTCTCGTTCTCGTTCCAAATCTCGTTCAAGATCACCCCGGAACAAAACATCGAGGTCTCCTTCTAGGTCTCCAAAACAGAGAAGGTCAACATCCCCAGATCGCACTACACAAGATCATGATGACAACATTGATGGTTCTGGGGAACAACAACAAGAAAGTGCTGATGCTGAAAGAAGAGAAAACAATGCTTATGATTAATCAACCCAGGCTTTCTTTAGACTTCTTCAACGATTTATAGTAATCAGTTTTTTAAAGTATTCTCTTCCAGGCTTTGTTGCTGTTGTGGAGATGGGGAGTAGACTTTTGTTGCAGAGCATGGAGGGAATGGACTGGGAATTCTTCTGTTTTAGGTAGAGATTCCAAAGTTATAGTGTGCTTTTGATATCACACACTTGTTAGCTTATTAGGGAAAAAACAGTTTTCTAGTACCTTTGTGATGGCTCCTCCTTCAAATACCCCATTAGTGCAGAAATGTATGAGGTTCTTGTAGAACAGTGACTATTATGTGTTAGCAAAAAACCCAGAGGACTCTATTTGGAACCCCGCTGTCTAGGATCATGGATACTTTGTCTGCAAAGCATGACTAGAACTTGAATTTTAATTTTTTTCTCTGCCTTACTATGTGTAATCACCAGTTACTACCGAACAAATTAAGAATTAGTTTCTTTGTTTCCATTTTGAATAAATGTAGAGGAAATAATTTTTTTAGAGATTTAGTTAGAAACTCTCTCAAGTTACCATAGCTTCTCTAGACCCAAGAATCCAGGTATATATTCTTGAGTTGAACTTCAGCAAAACAAGAATAGTGGTTATATACTTCAAATTTTGACAAGAAGTAGAGTTTCCTACAAATGTGTAAGGGTGCTCTTGAAACTAGAATCATAACAATGTGTCTATTAGCCAAGATGCATTATCTCAGTAGAGATTAGGCTCTGCTCACAAAGACCTGCAAAGAGTTCATTTTTTTCTCTTAGGGTAATGTAAGTGACTTGTTTACTGAAGGGCTTTAAAAGAATGTTGCAAAAGTTTTGTCAAACGCTAAAATATTGAGAGTTACATGAGATGTGTTTATAGACATTAGTGTGATTTAAATTTTTTTAGTTTTATATGAATTGTTTGGTATTTTGGGCCTTCAAAATTAAGAGTTGGTAGGAACAGTCATGTGATCAACTCCAAATAATGGCAATGGCCTGTGTGTTTCATTGGAGTGTGTTATAATCTTACCATATTCATTCATAACTTTGTTATCTAGTATGGCCTTGGCATGGGCCAGTTTGAGCTTTTATCAGCATTTTAATTGATTTTCCTTGATGTGGAATTTTTTTCATTGAATGAGTGGTTTGAACTTTGTGTGGTTGTTAAAGATAATTTTTTTTCTTACAATAACTGCTGGAAAGAATTGAGATGTTACTCAGTTCTGAAAATTATGTTTATATTATGCTCCTTGTGATGAGTGTTTGATTTAGGCTATTTTCTGTACTTAGTGTGAAAAAACATTAGGTAAGTTAGGGCCTCTTCATCTAGGTGTGGCAGTCAGGCTGATCAATATTAAGTGCAAATTTTGTTGATTTTTCTTATTGCAAATTTCATCTTGGGTTCTAAGGTGAGACTTCAAGCTTAGCACAGTAAATTTTGGAAATTTCAGTTCAGTGGCTGAGATGAACAAGGTGCAGTCATGTGTTGCCTCTCTAACCCGACTTAAATGTGAAATTTTCTATCTGAGGTAATAAGATCTTGGTGACTGGAACAGCTTGCCTAATTTTCTAAACTAGAGAAATTTTCCAAGGAAAGGGGAAAGATCTTAGAAGCTGTGTAAGTCTGGTTGACTGGACTTATTTGAGGAGGCTCTAGAAAGTAAAGGTATTTGCAAGTTATTATTTTTTTTGTCAATTTGATGTTAAAATTATCATATCAACCTTTCCTGTAGGCGCAGTTTATTTATACTTGCTGTGTGGGTTGACTGGTCATGCAGTGTTTTGCTGTTTTCTGCTGTTGCCGAAGGAGCCCATGCTGTTGCAGACTCCTGTTGGCGTTGTTGCCGTCCAGTTTCCTGATTGGTGGCTGTTCGTCAATCTTACTGTTCCTTTAAACCCCTGAAAGCTCAATTGATTATCACAACTTCCAAAATTTCCTCCAAATCTAAGTCAAATACGCAGCTTGAAAAAGTGCAGGAAAATATATTTCGTTAAGCAAAATATCCCAACCACCTCGGGCGAAAATTAAGGGACACTGCAAGAGGCTCTGATAGGGAACTCCCCTCTTAGATTTCATTTGGCGTAAAAACTAATTAGTGCCCACTTTTTTTCTATCCAAAAGTGACAAGGACAATCTTTAAGGGGCTCGTTTTAACAAAACGCTTCCAAACTATTTGGCAAATACGAGAAAGATTCTCACTGGAAGTAACATGCACACACAAGTTAGCGGTAACCATGGTTAGCATGAGGATCATGTGTTATCTGAACTATCTACCTTCCAAGTAGCATGGTGTTCCGAATTTTGGCTCAATTTGGTCAATGTATTCTTTCTTCAGTCTTCCATATTGGAAAATTTGATCGTCTAAACATTCCAAGGGGACCTCGTACGATTAGCAAATTGTAGAAAGTTCATCGCATTGCAGGTGGGATCGAAGGTGGTTCACAGAGATGGAAGGCCGACGTTTCGAGCGTTAGCCCTTCGTCAAAGCGATTGGCTCTGACGAAGGGCTGACACTCGAAACGTAAGCCTTTAAAAACTTTACGGTGACCAATTTATGTTATCAACTCAGCTGGTAACATCAAAGTACCCCGTTATATTCTCCCACCGACGCAGTGTCGCAGTTTCTTTACGAACTTACCTCTTCTACTCGATGGTTCGTTGACTTGCTTACAACTTACATTATCGCAGGGAAGTCTGGCTTATACTTAGAGTGTATTGTTGTCTTTGAACTGATCGATGCCACTGACATTCTCAGTAGTAATACGAAGAACAGTTTGAAGATGTTAGGAGATCCGTCTAGGGGTAGTTAGAAGTGGTCGAGAACGCTCAAGCGTGACGATGGCGATGTAGTGTGGGGCGGAGGTAAGAATTTTCAGTGAGGTGCAGTGTAGAAGGGTAGGAAGCAGGCTCTCGCACTGTGTCTTTGCTGTCACCTCTTCTTTACAGATTGGAGTTGCGTAAACCTGTAGGACCTCGTTTAGCTACACTTGGAGTAGATGTCAAGTTACATTTTCTAAATTGGCTCTCGTCAGAGGAAGGGCCAAAGAGAAGTGGTACCGGTCGACGTTGAGTCTTTGAAGCAGCTGAAGGATTAGCGATGTGGCGGCCATGTAGCTTTCTTGAGCAGCTAAGCGTGGTAAGTCTCCCTGTGTGGACGAAGAATGCCCGACTAGCCGAAGGAGTGTCGGCGAAGGAGACGAGGCACCATGAAAATTGGTCTCCGGTTCACTGATCACTGATGAACATCGGTAGTAAATGCGACGTAGAGAACGAGGCAAATAAAAGGATTTTTTTTTTATTTACAACTCTCTCTTGAATAATAGAATAGAATTACAAGTTAAAAAAGAAAGGGCGGTGTAGCTTTTCGGGCAAAATTCGATCAGATTTATTTACGTGACACCAAGCTATGTGAGCAGAATACTTTTTCGGAGCTTTATAGTAAGATGAATGTCCTTAATTCGGTGACGAAGTAACTTGGATACTCTTTCTTTAAAATTCGTTTTGGGGGAAGCACTATTTAGGTTGGACGAAATTAGTACGTGTGCTGTCTGCGTAACATAGAACTTCTGGGTTATCACGCCTGTTCTCACCCAAAGCCCATGGGCTCTCTGAGTCGGCAAGTCCTCGGCACGAAAATCGAGTGGCCCTCAAAGTCAGACCTAACAGAAATCTGGTGTGCTATTAGATCACTTCCCTCTCATTGGCGCATGATCTAAAATAAAAGTAAAGAAACGAACCAAACAGCACAAACTTATTTGTCTGATGCGGATGACAACAGGAAGTTAAGAGTGTTCGTGCTCTTTTAAATAATAGTTGGGTAAAGCTTCACATTCTCGTCAAGTTATCCTCGTCCTTTACCCAAGCACCTTCTTCCTCGTCTAAGCGACACCTTTCTCTAGTGATTTTACGAGTTCGAACGTTTATAGTCTCTTCATATACTTGTCATGTGACCACGATTCGCAACCACTTCAATAAGTTTTCACATTACTTAGATACGTTTAACAACACGAATATTCATATTGAACATACAGACATGCACATCATTCCGATCAATTCCCATGATGAAAACCACCAAAAAAGCCTGGTCCTTTTACACCCGAAGATAAAAATGAATATTCACCCTGCTGTCTTTATTATTTCTGCGATACTGACTAACCCTGCGGCCTAAATGTTTGATACACTAGCGATAATGTAAAGAGTGATACCATGCTGGTCACTTTTAAGGGTTAAACAGTTAAGTTTTGGTCACATATACTTTTAGAGGTAGCGGTTAATGTCCACTTGCAATTAGCTTTAAATTTCTGACATCAGCCAGTAAAACTCAATTAGTTTACCAAAGCTAGCCAAGCAATGAAAGAAGGATTAACTTAGATTTACAAGTGAACATACCACTACCTCTAGAGACATCTGTGACTAAAACTGAACCGTTCTACCACTAAAAGTGATTTGGCTTTACAGGTGCTTGCAATCAAATGCTTTGTCGGAAATGAGACTAAAAAGTCTGCAGTGATCAGAAACTTCACGTCTCACGCCCTGGCCTCTCCTATTTTAATGATCCTAATGGTCGATCATCTGTCACTTATCGCAAAAAATCAACCTGAAATCAATTAATGCTGAATAATCTCTCACAGGTTTGGACTTGAAACTGACTATTGAGCCACAAAGAGGGGGTGTTTTAAAAGACAAATGAATAATGAGGGTAAGTTTCATAAGAAACTGTGGTGCTGCGTCGGTGGGAAAGTATAACAGGGTAATTTATTATCACTGAGTTGATAACGTAAATTTGCCACCGTAAAGAATTTAAAAGCTGACGTTTCAAGCGTTAGCTAATCGCCCTGACGAAGGGCTAACGCTTGAAACGTCAGCTTTTAAACTCTTGACGGTGGTAAATTTACGTTATCAATTTAGTTGATAATACTAAATTACCGTGTCTGAAGAACCAAACATATTCAAGCAATTTTTTATTGACTTACCGGTAACTAATATTTTAAAAAGAAATTTACTTGATTCCGTGCCTCCATTTAGAAATGCAGCACTTAGGAGGAGAATTGTGTAAAGTGACAAAAGAATGATTTCCTTTCCTGAAGAGAAACTAGCTCATGCCATTGAAATTTATGCTGAGAATTCTGTAAAGTAGATGAAGAATTCCCAGATCTGTAATGCCTAATTAACTTTGATTAATAAATTATCAAATGCATTTACTCACTTTATTGCACATCTGTTTCTGGTAAATTTCAATTACATAGGTTGTGCAGTAATAAAATTGAAATAAAAAGCTCATCTTGAAGATTATCTCTGCATCATTATAAATAATATGTTGAATGTTTTTCAAAAAATATAAAATTCGTTGAATTAAAAGGTAAAAAGTCTTGATAACATTATAATAGTCATTAGTTTCACCATATTCATAGGCAGCCTTTTTAAAAGTTAAAAAAATTCTTAAATATAAAGGAATAGACAATTGACCAGACCCCAGTTTCATTCCCCTTAAATTCTTAAATCAGTCCCTAGCTAAAATCTACCCACAGTTTTACTTAACTGTGAAATTCAATTATCTCAATAACCAAGTTCAACATTCATAAATGTAACTATTTGATAATTTCTAATGTAATTGAAAAATCCCTACATTTTAGGTGGTGGTGTTACGCACATCAACTTGGCAAGAGACTTATGAATTTGTCCCTGGATTGGAACATAGTCAATTTTCTCACCATCAACAACTAAGTTTCCAGTCTGACTAGTGTCTGGTTCTAAACGGAAAGCATAGGCTCTAACATACTCCACATGATGGCTGCGAACGTGTGATCCATCCTTCATTTTGCCAAACAGATCCAGAAGAGCCATTCGGCCAGTAGTTGATCTAACATAAAAAATTCCCATCAACCCATCACCAAACTTTCCATCTGGGTTTGCCATCAGGTCTGTGCCTAGGTGACTCAAAAACACAGGGCATCCAAGGATAAACTCTCCTTCCACAACCTTCCAGCTTGGAGGCAGTTCTGAACTCAGGGGGGGAAGAAGATGATCTGATGGCCCCAGGCTTGAAAAATTTCCACTGATGCGTTTGCTGAACACGCCATTTAAATTCTCCTGAATGTGCGCCTGGTGTTGAGAGAGGGATGTTACATCACATTCTGCTGCACTACTGCTAACATCTTCCCTTGGGGTAAAGTTATATGCTAAATTATCCTCTCCACCGTTTATATCATTGGCGGGCAAATATGAAAGGCGCCCTCGGTATTTGCGCAGTCCAATAATTCTTGCTACTGTGCCGATAAGAAATCTCCTCTCTCCTAGAAATCTGTATCTCTCCGATTCAATGTCAACATCAGAAACTAATCCCCAAGTCACGGAGAGAAATGCATACAACTTTTCTGTTGGTGTTATCACAGAACAGATGTCTAAATCCATAAGATTCCCACGAATAATACCAAAAATGGCACTTGTCACATCATTTGGCTCCCTAAAAACATAAGGAAAAATTATTTATCAGTACAGTGACATTGCCCTTCCTGAAACAGGCATCTGTTTATTCAACAATATTATTACACTGTAGTCACCATTCGAACAAGAAAAAGGGCACTATTTATATATTCACTTTTTAAAAAAATCCTCATGGTGAATTATTAAGCCACCTGATTATTCTTACCTTTAAGAATATATACTGAACACTGACAAGAGTTTTTTCCTAAATCAAATACATTTTTAAGATTCTTTTGCTCAAATTTTAT